TTATTATATAAAAGTTATCTAAAATAATAGACTAAATACCAAACATGATTCAAAAGTGAATGGCAAATTTATGAAGGAATATCTACATTCTGAATTTTATATTTAAACCTTTTTTGAGGGCCGGCCCGGTGGCGCACTGGATAGTACGCCGCTTGGGAAGCGCGGCAGCGCTCCCGTAAATAATAGACTAAATACCAAACATGATTCAAAAGTGAATGGCAAATTTATGAAGGAAAATCTACATTCTGAATTTTATATTTAAACCTTTTTTGATATAAACATTGTTAATAATCTTCATGACAATGTATGAGGTAGACACTATTGTCATCATCTCCACCTTATAGATGGAGAAAATGATGCCTCGAAAGGTTAATTTCTTTTTCTTCTCCCTTTTTTAATTCATCAAAGTAATCCTAGATAATTTAGGTAAGATTTGTTGTACAACTGCACCTAAAACACCAGCAAGGTATGTTCATTTTTTTCCTTTTATTTCATTCTCTTGTGCCAGATATCAAAACAAGGAACAGCATGAAGTCTCACATACTTCTGTCCATCGACAGAACACTGAAAGCACCCATAAACCGTTTCCCTTTTAAAGTTCCCCATTCCACAGAGTATGCAAGGCCCTTTTGGAATGTTGTGATTAAGTAAGTTAACTCGGATATGAGTCCCTTCTTTGAGTGAAATATCAGTCATGCTGAGGGGTTTGTCATAGTAGTCAGAAAAAAGATCATCCAAGTAAAGCTGGGAACGAGAAATGGCATCCATCACTCTTCTATCTAAAATGACAAAAACGGAAATGTGTTAGAAGTCAAAATAAAAAATATATAACCCAAATTACATTTATAAATATGTGAATCTGAACCATCAGTTGTAAAGTGAATTGGCTTTTAATTTAAAATTTTTCCTTATCAGATAGGATTATTGAACAGATAACCTCATGTGTTAATCCAAGAAGAAAAAATATATATATTGAAGATACTCTTCAATTGACATACTTCTTTCAAATAGAATATTTCTCAATCTGTAGAACAGTGCAAATGTTGCCGTTTCTTCCTTTTCAAATCCTCCTTTTGACACTGAAGTGACACAAAGGTCTACAAAAAAAATTTTAGAAGATGTTATAACTCGAACAACTCATTTTCTTGGGTGATTTATGGGGATGGGGAATTCTGGTATATGCCATTCATACTTTTTTAAATTAAAATTTTCACATTTTAAGAAAGGATAACATTCACATGGAACAAAAGAGTACAAAAAGGGGATACAGTGACAAGTCACTAGCCCACCCTGAACCCAGCAACAATCTTCCACCCCAGAGACACTATAAAGTTTCTATGAATGCTTCCAGAAGTACTTCATGTATTTTACAAGCAAAAAGGCATACATATGTATGTATGTATGTATGTGTGTACGTGTATACGTATATAAAATTCTTTAGGCCCAGCTACATACTACACACATTTCTTTAAAATATTTCTTAGAGATTATTCCATGTCAAGATCTGTAGAGCCACCTCATTCTTAATGGTTTCATAGTACTCTGTTGTATGGATGTACCATTACTTAACAAGTCCCCTTAAGGTTGTTTCCAATCTTTTGCTATTAGCAACTGAATATTTTTGTACCCATATCATTTCACACATGTGTGAGTATATCTGTAGGATAAATTCCTAGAAGTATAAGGGCAAAGCATATGTACATTTTAAGTTTTGATAGCTATATCAGTTTATACTCCTCCCAATAAATATAACTGTAAAAACTTCTGCCTAGTGTGTTCCAAATAGAATTTACTTAGCATATAGTTTTGTTTTGTGTCTAGGCTACCTATTACCTCCTCTCATAAAACTTCAGAAATGAACAAAAACAGGCCTAAAATATGTTTATAAATTACCACAGGTAGGAAGTTCCATTGCCTACTTCTTTGGGCTACACCTAGACTTGTTCTGGTTAGCCACCTAATCTTAAATAACTGTGAAATTTAGAAATCTAAAGTGAGCTGCAATGAGGAATTATACCAGATGGCAATTTTGGAGAAAGTCTTTGTACTTCTCAAGTTATGTTTTAGGGGGAGTGCAGTGGGGAATCTGGGTCTACAATAAGCAAAACTCAAGTAAGAAAAGTTGTCATTGGGTGCCCTGGTCTGGGTGCCCTGATACTTCAGGCACCTTACTGTCTACCTACTCCTTCCTCTATTTGCCACCATCAAAAACTACCTATCAGAAGGTCATTTATCATCTCCACAAAGTTAATGAATACTTTGTCAGTGGATTGCATTTTAGCTCTTATCTGTATAAGTTGGGTGGTTGGGAGTCTATAGCCTTCACCAAGAAGCAGAAAAGAGGTACTGGGTAAGGAGGGAAGAGAGGGCCCTTCCCAGCTACTTCACCCAAGCATAAGATTGACAGAGCTGAGAGCATCCCTCTTCTATAATTATTAAACTCGTGTGTGTGTGTGTGTGTGTGTGTGTGTGTGTGTGTGTGTGTGTGTGTGTGAGAGAGAGAGAGAGAGAGAGAGAGGATTTCCTATTAAATTCTCCTTAAAAATATAATCATTTGTGTTTCATGTAGATCATTCACTCACCAAAGGCACCATCCAGGTAAATGAAAAGTTCAAAAACACTGAAAGCTATGGTTGTGTGTGCTGGAAAAACAATAGCTTTGTCCCTTCCCCTGGGATTCTGTTCATCCATAAAATGAAACTATATTAAATAAATAAATAAAATAATATTATTGAGGAGCATAACATGTAAGAATAGCTTTCTGGTGAAATAAAACATCTCCTACAATCCTATCAAAAACAAAACAAAACAAAACAAAAAAACCTCTGCAAGTAAAGAATTATCCTGCTTGAGTTAACTGTTTATAGCAGAGATCCAAGTGGTCCAATGGGGACTCATGGTCTATATTAGAAAATACTTCTCCACTTTTTCACTTACTTTGGCATTGGAACCAAAGATTAGTGCTACCATAACGGTAATGCTCTCTGGAGTAGAAGCCTTTTTCTTTCTACTACAAATCTTGGAAAGCAGCTGTGTATAAGTGCTAGAGTCAGTTTTCAGCCTAGGCTGTCTACTGTTCCAAAGCCCCCAGAGTTTTTGGCGGCTTTCCAAAGCAGTCACCAACAATTAAGCAAATGTTTGTGCCCCCAAAATGATCCAAGGTAAATAAAAATTTGACAGACAGCTGAATATGGGTACTGAACAGAAACTTTACTTGCAATGACTTGAAAAGATTATCATTAAGCCCTATCTTTCTAACAATTGGTTTTAATCCAATCAAGTCATTATTGGGTGTCACTGAATAACAAGGATAAACAATACCATAATTGAGCTGAAAGTTAAACACAAAAATTTTCTAATAAATTTAAAAGATCTAACATTGAATGAAGTATGTTTGGCCATTGATAATATTAATTCAGAAAAATTATTTTAATATAAAATAAATTCAACTTTTAAAAATCCAATGTATGTACTATATCACTTAATAAAATCAAAGAATTCAACTTTAGTGCTCAATTTTTATTCTTAAAACAGCACTTAAATAGTAATAGAAGGGACTCTAATATACACATTATTTCCCAAGAATTAGTGTTTTGTTAGCATTATATTACACATGTATAGAATCCAAGTTTTCTTGGATTGTTTCTCGTATTCTGAAACAAAGCCATTATTGGGCAAAATCCTATACAATTGCAGGTCTTTCATCTCCACATTTGACAAAATACACAGTCTCATTAGAAACTGAGTACTTTTTAAAAATCCTACAGCAATGTTTTAGTAAGAGAAGCTTAATGAGTGCTGTTTACCCGCATTGCTTCCCCACGAATTCCAGCGTGCACAGACAGTGAACACTGTCGTGTGGTTCGAATGCTCTCCATGACCACACACAATACTGCCTTTCTGCTGCTCCTTGACTGACGTACCAAGCTGTGGTCAAAGTTAATTTTTCTAAAATAAAGAAGATATAGTCACAAGGCTCTTTAACATCTACTTGCATATAATCAAGCACATATTTTGCTATTGTTTGTTATTCATTCAAGGTCCACCTTAACTAAAAGTAAATCAAGGCAACCCTAATACAAATAAGAAAATGAACTCAAAAGAAATTCAATAATCTTATATAGAATGTTTTATTCTGTCTGTTGAGGATCTATTGGAGGGGTCTCAGTATATTTGTTGTGGACTGATTCTTGTATTATTTCAGTCTAATAATTTAGCAGATAATTTGTGCAGAGCTGAAGTGATTTTGTGGAAAATTTAAAATTTTTTTTAATTACTTCCATGATAGTGGGAGAAAAAAACTTAAAGTTTTAATCATTTAAAACTTTAAATGATTTTGGATATCTACCTTTATCCAAAGTTTGGACACTACTAATACTACTAATTTGTAGTATTTCAAACAAATTAAACAAATTACGCTAGTAAATTACAACCTGAATGTTTTCAGCATTCCTTGTAATGAAGTTTATATAGTTAAAACATTTAATGAAAACACTGAAGTATATTAGAATTACTATACTGACCGTGTAGAAATTTCTTTGAGTAATGTTGATACCTCCACTTCATGTTTGGTTACTACACCAAATGATGCTTTTACTGCAATGGAATCTGATCCAGTAATGTTAATCCCAACATCATTTACAATATGATTGCCTCGCCTTCCGTAGAGTGAAACATCTGATTCATCTTCATAATTCAGTAATTGATAGGATGAAATACCTTTACAAGAAGGAATTTAGTATTTTTTCAATGTCTCACATTCATCTTATGTAGATTATACATAGTAACATGTTAATTTACAATACAAGACTCAACTACCCAAATGTCAGAGAAAGACACTTCAAACCAAGATAAAAAATAGCAACTCAATTAATTTTATAACAAAAAGGAATAAGTAGCCAGAATACTTAAAATAAACTCAGATTCTCTGTTGAGCCATCAAGATTCACTAGGTGGCTGAAAGAAAAACAAGTGTGTATAAGTAGTAACTTCTCAAAATCTCTTTTATAATCCAGTCTTAAAATACATTTCAGTTTACCAATTATAACTGAATCATAAAAAATAAGTACAAATTACTTTCATCTAATTTGACCACCTGAAAGAGGTAAGCCCAAATAATATCCCATTTTATAGATGAAGAAATGTATTATTATGTTATATTCTAAGTTGATTTGGTTAGAACAACTTATAAAATAATTGATAGATTTGAAAATTATTCAACCAATAAAAGATTTGATACTAAATAAACTTTAGGCATTGTTAATCTTAATAATATGATTACTATTATCATAATAAAAGTTGCTTTTACCGGTGAAAATATGTATTACTAATGCAAGTAGTACATACAACTTATGTTTAGGTTACTAAACACACAGCTGAATGAGTTGTTACTCCCAAACATTTAAACTTACCAGCTGAAATTTCTCTGTCTCCTAGGAGAATATCTTTCAGTGTAAAAGGTGTTGAGGTAAATTTATATCTAGGAAACAGAAAGCATCGCTTCTTTTTTACGACCAGACTTAGAGGTTGGTATTTGTCAGCTTCACTGAGGCTTGGAACTGGAACTAATCTCCCTCCATCTCCAACTTGCTTGACAAAGTTCTTGGTAGCAGCAGCAAACATATTAATATCAAAACGTCATCAACTGCAACCCCCAAATAACAAATCCATTTTCAAAGAAAATCAGGCACAAAATTAAGCCCTTGCTTGGTTTTAAATTTAATTATACACCTTAAAAATACAAAGCATGGTTTTGCCAAGTAGTTTAGCGTGCACAATTCACAACACTGCCTCCCCTCATGTGCTCAGGTAATGAATTATAGATCAACAGAGTAAAGTGATATGCTAAAAGCAAGTCTAATCTGGAATGGCAGTCTGCAGCACTAAAATATACACAGAAAACGAATAATTAAAAAACACTACCAACATGAGGATCACAGTAGATAGCGATTTGCCAGTAGCAACTGGTCAGCTTTAAGGGAAGCATATAGTCCTACGGGAAACAGTGCAATTTAGGCACTAACAGTAGTCCTGGATAGCATCTACAGTACACCTAGTCAAAAGGGAATTCCTTCGCAAGTCCACTATGCCATTTTGGCAACCAAAAAGTGCTGTTTTCCATCCCTATGGCATACAGTTCATTGTTTATTTCATTCAATCTGTCTTGTATGTTTTCAAAGCCAAGTGTTTAATATTAAATATAAATATTAAATATAAATAAAATTAAATATTAAATATAAATATAAATTTTAAATATTAAATATAAACAGAATGCAGGGAAACAATAGTATGCAGATTTTTATAAAATACTAAAGTCACGGTACATATAAATTACCATATAAACTATAACCTAGTTGTTTCTTACTCAGAAGCTGGGCACATAGGCTACATCTCTTTGAAATAGGTTTATTCTCTTTTTGTTTATTCTCTTCCTACTGCATTTATTCTCTTTTTGTGTCAACATTATCTCAGTCAACTTCTAAAGAGCTATATAAGATTTGGCCTATTTTTAAGTAATTTTGTGGCTGAAAATAAATTTTAGAAACAACTGCGAGTGCTCAAATATTATATTGCCATAGGTGCTATGGGGACGTTAATATATTTTAAAATAGTGGCTATGTGATCCTTCCAAAAAGATATTAAGAGGTAACACTGGTGAATAGCAATCAATATGAGAGGGGTCTTCAAAAAATTCATGGAAAGATTCGTATTGTCTTTTAATTCCATTTTTCCATGAACTTTTAAAAGTATACTCGTACTTATAGGTATACACATAGAAAGGCTTAATTCGAGCCTCAACAGAAAATAATTTGAGTAGATTCTGAACACCTTCTCACTTTGCTTTCAAGTATCCAGGGCTCACATGCAACCAAAAAATTATTTTCAATAATGTACCTTCGTGCAAATAGCACTGTGCAAAGTAATCTTCCAGAACACTGAGTACGTACAGGGAAGTATTTCTGTAAGTGGCCAGAGAGGTGACAGGACAATTCGCTGTCTGACCCCCACCAAAGGTGGCGCATCCCAGGCAAACGCCATTATAATCGACAACACGGGTCTCCAGAAACGGTGCACTGAACGCCTTCGTTTACACCTAACGTGCCTTCCTGCGATCCGCTGGCCCAGCGTTCATCTCGCCACGAAAAATCTAGAAGACAAAGGAGCCCGCCGCGGGGGAGGAGGGTCTCCGGAAGTCCCCCAGTGCTCCTAAAGGCAGCGCTCGGGGATCCGGAGAGCCCGCCGCAGGCCCCTGGAGCCGGATATGCCGCGGTTCTCAAGATTCGGGGCCAGGCCGGGGGAGGCTTCCTATCAATTTTGCTTCGGAATTTTGAAATCTTTTTCTTAAAGTGACCCAGCCCTCAATCCTCCCTCCCACCCCAAAAGGCTGACTGAGCTCAGGCCTCACCGACCCTGGGCCCACCCCGGACAAGCCGCCCCTCCCGAAACGGCCTCCTAAAAACACTGAACCGCAGCCCTGAAGCTGAGTTACCACGGCGGGCAACGGCTGGAGGGGCTGGGGCGAAAAACCCCCGAGAGCCGAAGATGAGGACACAAGAGAGAGATCGGAGGAGCCAGGGCTGGGAGAAGGGGCGGGGCCTGGGAGGGAAAGGGGCGAGGCCGGTTGCTCCGAGAGCAGAAGGCGGGGACACTTGCGGGAGCTTGGAGACTGGGAGAGGGGGCTGGGCCTGAAGGGAGAGAGGTGGGGCCAGGCCCTCAGAGCCAAAGCGGGGACACTGGCAGGAGCTGGGAAGAGCCGGGGCTGGGAGAGGGGGCGGGACCAGAAGGGGAGAGAGGCGGGGCCAGGCCCTCCGAGAGCCGAAGGCGGGGACACCGGCAGGAGCTGGGAAGAGCCGAGACGCGGGGGCGGGACCGGGCATCCCGAGCCGCGAGAGCCAAAGGCGGGGGCACTGGCGGGAGCTGGGAAGAGCTGGGACTGGGAGAGAGGCGGGGTCTGCGGTGGAGAGCAAGGAGTAGGGCCCACAGCGAGGTCAGCGAGGGTCCGTAGCCGGCTCTTCCGGCGCTGACCTTCTGCCTCCCCTCGCCCCCTTCGAAGAGGGACGCAAGCAGGGAGAAGAGAGGGAGTCGCAGGCGGCGGCGGCGCTGGAGCGCTCGTCTCGAAGACGGCCACCCCGGGGAGCGAGGACGTCTCTCCGCACTGCTCTTCTTCCCGGCGCCGAGCCGCCCCTTCTCGCCATGTCCCAGAGTAGGCATCGCGCCGAGGCCCCGCCGCTGGAGCGTGGGGACAGCGGGACCTTGAGGTCAGCGCCTGGGCGGTCGGGGCCGCAGGGCCAGCAGCATGGGCAGCGGGGACGGGGGCGGAGGCGCCGGCTCTTGCGGCATTCTGGGTAAAGCCCCTTCCTGGCGCTGCGGGCGCTC